ACCTTTTTGTTAAATAAATTGTGTTATACATAAAATTCTAGATTCAAACCAACACTTTTAATTGTATTTCCAAAGAGTTTAGAAATAGAAGATTACTTTTGAGCATAAAATTTCCTCGGAATCATTTGATTATTCTTAATCCCTGAATTCCTATCCCTATTTCAATATTTTAAATTGACAACACAATCAAGGTAAGAATGAAAACCAAATGTCGTCCAAATCAAACGTAAAATATAAAAATATTTAGCTTCATTCAACATTTCTAACTTAGCTTTTCCATATTTTTATATCAAAAGTTCTAATTCTTATTTTCCGGAAATAATTCTATTATACAATAGTTCTCCTCCGACGCTGACAACGTCTCCGGACATAACAGTCGGTTTTTCAAAATAGGATATGTTTAATACTTAAGACAATGAAGGATGACGAGAACGAGATAGATTATCTCCCTTTCCTGTCATCTAGACATGGAATCAGCAATCTCGCGGTCAGACAGGGTCAGCCATCCAAAACGAGTCGAAGTTTCAAGTCGTCTCAACTTTTTTTATTAACGCGTATATATGAACCAATCAAACCATTATTGTATATTTTAATAATTTTAAAGAATATATTTACATTACTAGCGTATATGGCGCGCTATGCGCGCCAAATCGTTCACGTATGGGGTGTTATCATTGGAATATATATATATATATATTCACGGTTATTTCCAATATAATATATACATACATAGAATTTAAAAAAGAAGAAAGAAAAAAGTCTAAAAACTTATATAAAAAATACTTTAAAATTTAATAAATTTAATAATTTAATTTACTTTTTTTTAATAAATTATATTAAATTTATATATTATATTATATTAATTCAGTATAATATAATATAAAAATAAAAATATTAAATATTATTATATAAAAAAAATAATATATATAAAATTAATATAATTTATATATATATATATATCATATTATATAGATATATTTTGATATGCATAGCGCCAAAAAAAGCTGACAAGAAACGTTACATACTTTTTTTTAAAAGGGATATTTACCTGTTAATTACGCAAGTAGTTAGTTGCAACTAAAAATTTATCTTTGATAATTTTCATATATTTGTTTAAATGGGAAGCTTTCTTATTAACATTTGTTGCGCGAATAATTTTCAAATAGATTGGTATTGCAACAGTCATTTACATGAAAAATATTCATCAAAGGTCAATGAGACCTATCATTTTAAAGCTCCTTTTTCAAGCTTCAAGGGAGTTTAGAATATTTGATGAGCTTCGGTTTGAATGACAAAAATCCCGACATATCCTTAACACAGAGAATGGAAGCGAGACATTGTAATCAGTTAAGATCGTTCATAGGCCAATACAGACTGAAAATAGGCCAATGAAGATGAAATCATTGTCAAGCTCACTTAAATTAATTAATTT